CTATATATACATATGTGTATATATATATATATATGTATATGTATGTGTATATATATATATATGTCACAAGGCTGCAGTGGCGCTTCGCGCCATGCACCTTGGTTTTTTAAATTTAGTATGCAGGCGAAATTTCAGGAAGGTCAAGCCGACGATTTAGCGATAACTCCTTGTTGCCTTATGGGGCATCGTCGCTATGATAATGTTATTCGTTATCCTTCCTCCATTCTTCATTCTCGCCGTACCCTGCGCATTCTCCCCATCCTCCTCAACTCTTTTTGCGGGGGCTCCTCCTTGGAGAGCCTCTGGGGGCCGCACAACAAAAGTTTTTCATGCTTTCCTGAGGCCTTTGGTGGCCTCCTGGGCGTGTTTTTGGGGCCTCCCGGGGCTTCCTCAGGCCACCCTGCCTCCAACCGCGGTCTCTCTGAACAACCGAGTCACGATTTGGAATGCTTCAGAGGGTGTCTTGGGACCATCTTGGGCCGCCATGGGGCTCTCTGAGGGACATCTTGGACCCCTGTTGTGCCGCTTTGGGGCTCTCTTGGACTGCCTGGAAGCCCTTTCGGATGGTTATGGGGCGATTTTGGAGCCTCCCAGGCGGCTTCGGACGCCCAGAAGACCGCCGTCTTAGAGCGTTTGGAAGCTGAAAAAAGGATAACCTCACAATTCACCAAAAACCCACAGACAATTAATGTTTTTTGCCTCCTGGGGCCTTCTTGGGAGTGCTCTTGGAGGCCTCTTGGGACGTTTTGGAGCGATCTTTGGGGGTATGACGGCTTCTTTGGGGTCGTCGTGGACCGTATTGGGTCTCTCTGAAATCGTTTCGGGAGCACGCCGAAACGCCTGGAACCCATCTGGGGCCGTCTTCGGGCTCTCGTGAGGTTCTCCCGGGTCGTCTGAAGGGTTGCCTGGAGGCCCGGGGAGTGCCAAATTCGTTGGGATGTGTGTGTGTGTGGTCTTTTTCCTGCGTCCCAGGCCCGATAAAAAAACATTTGACTGGGAATGTATGTATGTATGTATGTATATATATATATATATATACACAAGACTGCATTGGCGCTTCGCACCAATGCAGTCTTGTTCCTTGTGAGTTCGAATGCAGGCGGCGTGCGCGCGCGTGGACGTGGGGCCAGCCACCGCCAAGTCGGAGTGGATCAGGATTTCCTAAGCGGGAGCGACTTGATAACGCCAGCTCTGGCCAGCTCAGGGCGTTTCTGCGCCCAGAGGCGCGAGTAAGTCTAAGGCGATTGGTTAGGGTAGCATGAAGCAGGGCATCCTCCTCCTCTTGCTCTTCCTCCGCATTTTCCTCCCCCCTCTTTCTCCTCTTCATCTTCATCCTGTTTCTGCTCTTCCCTCCTTTTCCTCATTCCGCTTCCTCCTCCTCTCCCGTTTATATTCCTCTATTTCTTCCTGCTTTTCTTCCACATGTTATTTTCGGCATGCGTGCTGCCCACGACTGCGGGTTCGGAGATTCGAAATCAATTCCAAACAATTCGAGGCCGTAAGAGGCCGACGGCTGGCCCAGCTGGGCCGGGAGTGTCGGAAATATGGAAAAAACAATGTTTTCAGCCGTTTCGTTTTTTTCGCTTCCTATTGTCGCTTCCAATTGTCCCTTGAGGCGTCTAGATGCCTCCAAGAGGGTTCCAGATGAGTCCCCAGACGAGCCCCGAAGAGACCCAAGGCTGGCGCAACTGGGACCAGGACGGACAAATTTAGGAAACTCATTGGAAAATCAAGGTTTTCTGGTCTTCTCGCTTAGTCGCTTCCGATTCGCTCTTGAGGCGTCCAGACAGCTCCAAGACGTCTCCTAATGAGTCCCCAGGCGAGCCCCAAAAAGGCCCAAGGCTGGCGCAACAGGGCCCGGAGATGGCGCGACTCGGCCCAGGGAGTGGGGCCCAAGAATGGACAAATGTAGGAAAACCATTGGACATGCAAGGTTTTTGGTCTTCTCGCCTTGTCGCTTCCGATTGGCTCTTGAGGCGCCGAGACAGAGAAAACGCAGTAAAAAAACAATGTTTTCGGCCTTCTCGCTTGTACACTTCCGGTTGATTCGGGGGGCGTCCAGACGACCCCAGGACGGCCACAGGGAGGCGCAAGACAGGCTTGAGGATTCGAAAGTCTTTTTGGGGAGGGCGGGGGGGGGGGCGTTCCCCAGCCCTATAGGGCCCGGAGAGGGGGCCCAAACAATGAACAAATGTAGACAATCATTGGAAAACAAGGTTTTTGGTCGTCTCGCCTTGTCACTTCCGATTGGCTTTTGAAGCGTCCAGATGCCTCCAAGACGGCTCCAGATGAGGCCCCAGACGAGCCCCAAACAGGCCCAAGGCTGGCGCAACAGGGCCCAGAGAGTGGGAACAACTGGGTAAACGCGATTAAAAAGATAATGTTTTCGGTTTTCTCGTTTGTACACTTCCGCTTGACTCGGGGGGGCGTCAAGACGACCAGCAAAGTGCAGGACAGGCCCGAGGAGGCGAAGTTCGTTTGGGGGGAGGGGTGCGCTGGGGTGTGGGCTCCCCGGCCTTATAAAAACATATAAATTGGAGTACATGGACATGCTTATGTATATGTGTATGTATATGTATATGTGCATGCATATGTTTATCTATATGTGAATGTATGTGTATATGCATCTGTATATGTATTTGTATATGTATGTATACATATACACTATTGTATATGTAAAACTATATGGGTAAGTTATTACATCGATGTATGAATATGTTTGAGCATGTGTAACTGTAATTGTGAATGCATCTGCTTATGTATATATATATATATATATACACATGTGTGTACACGCATGTGCATATGTGTATGTATATGCATACAAATACGCATGTGTAAGTGTACGTGCATATGTACTTGCATACGCATATGCATATTCATGTTCATATGTGCATGTATGTATATACGATATGCATGTGTATACGTATTTGTATATATAAATATGAATACGTATATATATGTGTGCGCGTGGGTATATTTATGTAGATGTATGTGTATATGTGTATGAGTATGTCAATGCGTATGTATATGTATGTGTACACACAGATGGAAACATAGACACACATGTATGTATACGTATATATATATATACAGGGATATGTTTATGTGCATGTGCAGGTATGTGTATATGTATATGTATATGTAAATGTGTGGATGTGTATATACATGTGTAACTGTAAGTGCATGTGTATAATATGTTACATAGGTGTATGACTATGTGTATGCATGTGTAATTGTAAGTTTAAATGCATATGCGTACGTATATACACATATATATATGCATATGTGTGTACACGTATTTGCATATATGTATGCATATGCAAACAAATACGCATGCGTAAATGTAATTGTGTAGGCATTTATATATGCATACGCATATGTATGTTGATATGTGCATGCATGGATACCCGATATGCATGTGCAGGCGTACATGTATATGATTATTAATTATACATAATCTATAAATACATGTATACACGTGTGGGTATATTTATGTACATGCATATTGATATGTGTATGTGTATGCCAATGCGTATGTATATGTATGTGTACACATGTATGTAAACGTAGACACACATGTATATGTAGGTGCGTATGTATATTGAAATTACATATACGCGCGTATTCCTGTCTCGGATCTGGAGGGGGGCCCACCACGCCCACACACACCCTGCAAAGCCCCCATGACGACCGAACAGACGGTCCAAGACGGCCCAACGGACGGCCTCAATGCTTTCCAAGGCTGCCAAGATGGCCCCCAAAGAGCCCCCAATGAGGCCCACAAGAGGCTTCTAAAACCCCCCAAGGCGCATCCAAGAGGACCCCAGGAAGGCTCGAAGAGGCCACCATCATTGATTTCCGAATGGTTCTTGAACGACTTAGCAATTTGTTTCTTTTCGTGTTTCCCACGGCCCAGGGCGGACCGAGAGGCCCTCAAACTCGCGACAGCATCGCCCAAAAGGGCTTCAAGATGGCTCCAAAACGGCCCAAGAAGCCCCCAAGACGGCCCCAAGAAGGCCCCAAGGCGGCCCACAAGGTTTCCAAAACGCCCAAGATCGTCTCAGCGATGCCGCTGAACCGCCCCAAGAGGGCCCAAGGCGGTCCCGACCAGCTCCCGGGACGGCATCCGACGACGTCACACGGGCCGCGAGTGCTTTCAGACAACCAAAAAAAGGTGCCCAAGAACCCTCCGCAAGGCGTCCAAGAGCCCACGGAGGCCTCGAATAGCCCCTCAGGAAGCTCCCGAGGTCCGAAGAGTGCTGCAAGATGCTCCCCTTTGAAAGACTTTCCTCCTCCTCCTCCTCCTCCTCCGCCTCCTCCTCCTTTCTGGGCGCATGCTTCAAAACAACGCGTTCGATGAGCCTCCTCCTCCTCCTCCGCCTCCTCCTCCTCTTCCTCTTCCTCCTGCTTCTTTTGCTCCTCCTCTTCCTCCTCCTCCTCTTCCTCCTCCTCCTCCTCCTCCTCTCCTCCTCCTCCTCCTCCCTCTTCGGATCCTCCCCCTTGTCCACCCTCCAGCGTTCCCCGAAGATTGTCCAGAGCGGCTGGGGAAATACATGGTTCGATAGCTTCGCCAAGCTGGGGCCACACGCTGGGCCGCAGAGGCGCGTCCCAAACAGGCGATGGCAGCGAGTATTCGCCGTAGGTCCTTTGGGGGAGAGTGCGCACCCAGACACGACGCGCCCAAACAGTCGGAAGAACCCATCTGGACTACCCCGGCAAGCCCAGGAGGCCTCCAACGTCTCCGCACACTTCCCCACAACGCAATTCTTGCGACTTCCCAGCCCGCCAGGGGTTCTGGACCTTCTCATGCTGCTGCTGCGTCTCGTCCACCCCCTTACCTTCTCTTCTCTCCTGCTCACACATGTCCATGGCAGGCATGCTCCGATGTACTGTATGCGAGCACGACTTGCCCAAGTCTGACTTTAGCACGGAAGACAGACTCCGTCGCGCAGCCAGCCCCAATCCTGCCAGGATCCGACACACTCTACCCTGCACAGGTTGTGGGGAAGGCCTGCCCCGAGACAGCCTCAGCGACAACCAACGGCGGAGAAAGACCAAGAAGTGTATCCAGCGCGTCGCCTTTGCTACGGACGCTCGACTGCCTCGGCCTCCCCCGCTACTTCGCGTCCACCAGCGGCGGAGACACCAGACCGACCGACGCCTGCGCCGTGCGAGGCGCGGCCGGCTCTGACCCCGTCTGCGCAGTTTGCACTGCCAGCAGCAGTGAGACCGCAGCCTGCGTCCATTGGGGCCTCGTCTGAAGTCGGGCCTGTCCCTCTACAGGGGGACTGTCCAAAAATAGTCAAAACATAGTCTGGGGAAGATTTGTTGTTGAGTATTCTTGGAGTACCTTTTGAGTATTATTTGGGTATTCTTTCTGTTTCGTCCAAAACCCGCCTGTAGGAGGACGTGCCCGACCTAAGCCTCGTCCTCCCTCGCGACGAGTTCGGGAGCGATCAGGGCTTGTCGTGCTTGCACCGCGCCCGGTCGACCCCCTAGCGCTCTGCAGACTCTTCTCTTTGGGGCGCCAAAAGAGCTCCACGGTGGCGCACTCCTGTTCCAGCGCGAGGCGGGTGGTTTCCGAGGCGGTCATGGGAGATACGTCGTCGACTTCGACCGCTGCTACCCCCAGCCCGACTCCTCTTTACTCGAGCTGTTCCAACGGACGTGGCCAGTTATTGGCACGCACGTGCGGCTCGTGCACGACGACCCCACCAACACATCACAACTTACGGGTTCATTGCCGATTCTCGACGTTACAACAGTTTGCTGAGCTTCGCCGCCAACGAAGTCCAAAGCACCACTTCAGAACGAGAAGTCGAACTTGGAAGAGTCTTGATACCGTCCTTCATCCGCATCCACGGCACCATGTACAGAGAGGTGTACTCGGCTGCCGACCCTGGGCCGGTCTGGTTGCTCGTGGTGGACGTCTGCGAGCGCCGCACTTGCGCACGAAAGCACGGCCTCGACCTCTCCATCGTCTCTCAGCTGGAGAGGCTCATTATACTCTACAAATATGCTCATGCAGCACGTTCAGCACTTCAAATCAGTTTGGCCCCGTGCCCCAGAAGCATCCGTCATTCTCCGCTGGGGCGAACGCGTCCAGGAAGTGGCCGCAGTGGTGCAGCAACGCCCCGACGCCATCGCCGAACATAGGGCAGTGTGTTTCCGTTTGACGCCGGGCTCCCGCCCGCAATACTTTTCACCCCTGCGTTGCCTTCACGAGCCTGTGAGTGACCCGTTGTGGTTCCCATGCGGAGCCGGCGGGTGGAGCACCGACGCCGTGTCCGCTTCGGGCAACCACGTGACGCAGATGTGGTGGTACCGCCGCCCCCCCTCTGCCAGTCACACATGCACGCGTGCGGGCGTCTGTTGAACGACTGGCTCATCAACATGTACTGCCGCATGGAGGAGGAGGCTGTCGCCGGTTAGGGAAAAGCAAAGTACTCGCAGTGCCAGCCGCGAAGATTTGTGAGAGGTTCTGGCCAACGAACACATCCCTTCCAGTGCAAATGGCACCAAGTACTACCTCCGTTCCACTATCCCTGGCTCCCCGCGCCATCTCAAGCGACTCCGAGTGGACGCATTGGAACTGGCACGCCGGACGGGCCCCCCAACTTATTCATCACCCTGATTTGCAACCCCCACTGGCCAGAGATCCAAGAGGCACTCGCTCCCGGACAAACGCCGCCCACGATTCGTGGCTTCCATGCCAAGCCCATTTGGTATGTAAGATATTTTCTGAAAGTTCACACGGCGCACATAACTGGTACCAGTAGATACGTTATGTCTGATCTTTCCTATATGGAACATGTCGGGGATGGTGATTTCTACTGTCTGAGAGACTTGTGCCAGGAGGCCTTTGACATGTACAATTCCATCGCCGACACGGAAACCACGGATTGTGGCAAAAGAGCAATGGCCGCCAACGTCACGCAAGCAGAAAGGGAATTGGGCCGCACACTGGTGCAAATGCTGACTTCGCGGCACCACGCGGTGGGCTTGCACACCCGTGTCAACGCATTGCTGGGCATGGAGCTCATAGATTTTCGCGATACACAATGCATGATCTGCGAGAATCGCACTTTCCTGCGGGGGTCCCACCTGCGCACGAAGATGGCGACAGACACCTGGCTCGACCTGCTGCGTTCCGCTCACAGATCCTGGCACAGAGAAACCTTGCTTCCTTTCGTGTGGGGGCCCGTGGCCGCGCGCGACGGCAAGCGCTCCAATTGATCATGATGTCTTTCGTTTCGGCCACACCTGTCTACAATTTCGTGTCCTACGCAGATCTCGTCAGTGCCATTGCTGTTCGGGGGGCCACCATGGAATCTCTCTGATGCCGCAGGGAAAAACCTCACTCCTCCTCCTTCTCCTCCTTTGCCTCATCCTCGTCGTCGTCGTCGTCGTCGCTCCCGATCTGCCCCCCCCACCTCGAGTGCAGGGCGCCGGGGACAACTTGCCGGCGGCAGGGCCCGCGACAGGCAAGACAGGAGTGCCCGTGCCTGCCGTCTTACCGAAGAGCCTCTGGGCCAATATTTAAGGCGAAGCGGAGCGAGCCTTCAAAATCTTGTGCTTGCATCTGTATCGATATATACACACACAAGATTTTACCAGCTTTCTTCGCTTCGCCTTTGAAATCTTGGTGGCATGGCGCCAGAGAGGCGTGCTGCGATCGGTGGTCCCCGTGGCGGGCTGCGACAGATCATATGGATCGCCCGACACATCGTACAACGCCTGCTTTGGGACGCATTGAGCGCGCAATGTGGAGGGTATCATGCGGACTGGGCCACAGCAGCTGCGTCTCATGAAACGCAGTGCAAAAATACACCGCGTGTCCATTTGCACATGCGTTTGGACATGCACATTGCAATGCGCAGCTGCCGCCGCGTAGACCGCACCACATAGAGCTCCCAAAGCATTGTGCACCACGTAGCTTCCACTTGGGCGTGAATCCACTTAGGTTGCACCGCGGAACGTGGATGACGTAGAACGCATGTCAAATAATGCGCCACGTGGATTGCAGTACATAGCGTGCGTTACGTAACGTGCACCGCAAAGATTGCACCGCATGGGGCGCACTGTGCTGGCTGACGGGGAGACGGTGGTTGGGGCCACGGCAGATGGGATTTGTTAATCCTCGCGCGCACGTGGCGAGGGCGGCCGCAATCAAGGGCGGCGAACGCAAGAGCTGTGGACTGCCCAAGGCGGGCCGCCCCCTTGCGCTCGTAGCTCGTGCAACGTGAAACGCTCTCCGCACCGGCTGCAGTAGATTCTTGTGAGCAGCAACGTCTCTCCGAAAGTCTTGGCGCCCTGCTGCCGCATGGCCCACGTGCTCTTGTTTCTCCTGGAGCAAGGCCGCGTGAGACAATGAGCCTGGACAGTGGCGAAGCATATCGGCGCAAAATCGGCACACCAACTGTTTGCGGCGTCAAAGCGCGGTATTTATCTTCGAACCGTGTCTGGTCGTGGCTACGAGGATGCAGTTCGAATGCCGCTAGAATTGTTATCCTTGTCTCACCAGTCCCTCCTCTTATTCTCAGCTCGGCCGGCTTCGTGGCTATCCGCTGTGCCATGACAGCGGACGCCTTCCCCCTGTCTCGCCAGTCTTCACAGACTCCAGACGCGACAGTTTTCTAAATATTTGTTCTCTGCGCATGGCGGACAGTGGGCCAGAGTCGGCTGGGATGCGCTTGAGATAGTAAGGGAACTGGTGGACGCACACGTGTTCCAGGCCCACTTGCTCGCACACCGAGCATGCAAGCTTTACCAGCAGCATGCTGCGGAACTTGGCGGATGCGTTGCACAAGCCAGCTGCCGCCGCCGCGCATTCTATTTTGCATTCCCAAATCGTTTGTGATTCGTGGTCGTCTGCCTGATGGCCCAGAGCCCGTGCACGCCGTGCATCTTCGAGCATGCGCAGGGCCGTCGCGCTGGGTGTTGGAGAAGGCATATCTTGGCAGCGCAATGCCGCAGCTGGAGCAGGTGATAGAACAGGGGCGGTGTCGTTGGTTGTCAGCTGCGCACACCCGGCACGTGTGGTCCCCGATGTGTAAGCGCCGATTGGCGAGGTCGGAGTGAGTTTTTGCCATTCCGCAGACGGAGCATGTAAGCGTGGCTGCTGCTGGCCGTCCGCGCCGTCCACCCATGGGAGGTGCGGGGCGTGGAGGCGTGCTCAAGGCTTGAGCCGCGCAGGCTGCAGAACGCGCCGGACTGCCCTGAAGGGCTCATGGGGCGCAGAGGCCTCACAGGGCTCGTGGAGGGCATGGGCCCCATCGGGGTCATCAGTCTTGTCGGGCCCATGGGTCTCAGAAGCCCCGTGATGCCTTTTGGGGTCGGAAAGGCCACATGCTTCTTAGGACTCATGGGGCCCGTATGGCTCATGGGGCGAATTGGTGCGTGACATCTCAGAGTTCGTTGGGCTCTTGGGGCTAATATGGCTTGTCGGCTTGATGGACAAAGATGGGTCGTGTGGCTCAAGTGGCTCGTGGGTGCACTGGTGGCATCGGGCTCGTGGGGGTTACGAGGAGCTTCGCGTATCCCCCACCAGGTGGGCAACGCAGCCTGCTGCTTGCCCTCTCTCCTTTTCCTTCTCTGTCTCTCTTCTGTGCCGCATGTGTAGTCAGGCCACTGCTAGTAGTGCCCGGACGCCTTCCGCACACCCCGCGTGAGGTTGCGAACAAAAAGTATCCTCCACCAGCCCATCCAGAAACGAGCGTGGAGCTGAGGTAATCAGGGAAGCAGGAGAGTATGCAAAATATTAAAAGGCGAGAGAAGCCGCGAGGAGGAACAGGAGGAGGTGCGGGAGGAGGAGGAGGAGGAGGAGCAAGAGGAGGAGGACGAGGATTGGGGGAAGAGAAAGAGGAGGAGAAGGAGGAAGAAGGGGAGGAGAAGAGGAGGAGGAGGAGGGAAGAGAAGGCGGGGACGGAGGAGAAGAAGGAGGAACAATGAGGAGGAGGGAGGAGGAGGAGGAGGAGGAGGAGGAGGAGGAGGAGGAGGAGGAGGAGGGAGGAGGATACGACTAAGGTGAAGAGTGAAGAACGGGGAGAGGAGGGAGGGAGAGGAGGGATGGAGGAATGGAGGAGGAGGAGGAGGAGGAGGAGGAGGAGGAGGAGGAGGAGGCGGATGAGGAGGAAGAGGAGGCGGAGGAGGAACGGGAAGAGGAGGAGAGGGGTGACAGAAGGGCCAGAGGCCTCTCGAAGTCTCGTGGGGTGCATTTGGGAGCTTATTGGAGGACTCTTGGAGTGTCTTGGGGGCCTCTTGGCAGTCTCTGGGGGTGCTTTGGAAAGGTGCGCGCGGGCAGCTTGCGCCCCGCCCGCCCGCCTGCTGTGCCCAAGAGGAGGTCCAGGACGTCTCTTGGGGCCATCTTCTTGGAGGACATCGATCAAAGAAGGGGGTCCTTCAATTAGCTCCGCCGCTCGGGAGCCCTCCAAGACGTTCTCGGGGCGCTCTTGAGTGCTCTCGGGACCGCCTCGGGGCTCTCTTGGGACTCTCTTAGGGCTCTCTTGGGCCATCTTGGAGGTGTCTTAAGGCCTCGGATGGTTATCGGAAGCGACAAGGCGAGAAAGCAAGCAACATGGATTTCCCATAGGTATTTGAAGCATTTTTACCTCTTGGGGGCATCCGTGGGGAGCTCTTTTAGCCACTTGGAGCCGTCTTGAAGGCAGAATGGACGCCCCAGAGCGGGCTTGGGCCGTCTCGGGATCGTCCGGGAAGCGGTCCGGAGGCCGTTTGGGCCGCGCGAGACGTCGGGTGGAGGCGCCCAGATCGGAAAATTCGGAATCCACGACTTTGGGATCGCCCAAATCCGAATTTATGTACGGGGGGCGGGCTCCCCAATAAGAATGTTCGAAGAGAAATAAACGCACAAACGTGCAAACACAAAGAGAGAGAGAGAGGGAAGGAGGGATGGAACCAGAGATAGAGAGGGAGAAAGGAGGGGAGAGAGAGAGAGAGGTATTGCTACATACGTATATACGTAGCACCCCGCAGATGCGGATAAGAGTGAGGGGGCGGTGGGGACGTCGGCAGTCTGCGAGACTCTGGAGAAGCCCGCCGCATGCGCCAAAGTTTCACAAATTATACAACGAGCCCGCCGCAGGCGCCGATTTTTTCTTCAAACCAATTTGGATCGGTCGCGGGTGGGTCGCGGGTGGGTCGTGGGTTGGGTCGTGGGTGGGTAGCAAGTGGGTCGCGGGGGGGTCGCGGCTGGGTCGCGGATGGGTCGCGGGGTGGGTCGCGGTCGGGTCGCGGGGTGGGTCGCGGGTGGGTTTTGGAATCCACTGCCCCTCTGTTGTGGGGCAGTTCTATAGGACGGGCCGCGGAGGGCAAAGGGTTTACACAGTTTTGAGCAATCCGTGAATTGAGTATGGGTCGGACTTGTAACTCGTCAAAGAAAGCGCGCATGCCCCAAACACAAACCTATGCTGTATATAGGGACCGATGAACTTTCGCTTTACGTCGTCCCCCTCCTCGCGACCCCCTCCTATCTCTCTCTCCCTGAAAGGTGCCAGGGGCATCCGCGGGGCGGGCGGAAGAGCGCCTCCATCCTCCCCCTCTTAGCCATCACGTTTATTCCCTTCTCCCCGCGCCTGTTTGTTCCTCCTTCCTTCTTCTCCGCCCTTGCCAGAAGAAAGCTGGATACATATCGTGCGCCGCACGTTCGCGTCAGCTTGTGCCGACCGCGCGATTTTCATACCAGTGCAATAGTTAAGTCGAAGGGGGTGGCCAACGTAAGCGTTTGGGCCTCGATCCAGGGGTTGGCGGCAAATTGCGGCCTTTGCCCCCAGGGTGATTTGGGAACCAATGGTTGACGCTTCGCGTATCCCCGCCAGCCCATCCAGTGGGATCTCGCTACGCTGCCGTCCTCTACGGTGCAAGGACTTCGGGTTCGGCATGTGTGGCTCTGTGCACCCGTCGGCTGCTTTCTCCTGCGTGGACTCCGCTTTCGACAAGTGCCACTGCTGTACGAACAGAGTTACTGTCATTTGCAGTTCTATCCGTGACGAGGTTGCCCCCTCTTCACTCTTGAGCTGACACGAGGTTTCGGCATTTGTGTTCGTCCACTTCACGGATGTCTTCTGGGGGTGCGTGTCGGTCTCGTTCGTTCTGACGTTGCCGGCCGAGCCACTCACAGTGCTCGACCTCTAAGTGATATCGGTCGCGCCGCCGCGCCAATTTGGCTGCGTCTTTTTGCTGGTAGTTGCCGGGATTTTCGGACACCACCGGGAATGGGTCTACCTGTCCTGGTCGCCCTTCTGAGCTGCCGCCCGGCTGCTGCGCCTGTCTTGCTTTCCGTTTTTTCGCTGCGTAGTCGTGGCCCGGGTAGAGTTTGGACGCCTTTTGATCCGCTTCACGAGGCCGCTGACCAAGAGTATCCCCGCCAGCCCATCCAAAAACATCGCCAGGCGCGTTCCTGTGACCCGGGAATTGTAGATGCATGCAGTAGAACGTCCGCCTTCAGAGATAGGCGGGAAACCGAATCCCATCCGCAATTGGGAATCCATCCAGTTGCGCACCTCTCCGTCCATAACTGATGCCCAGGCAAGTTGTCTAAGGAGCCTCGTAGAGGTCTCCTGGAACCATCTTGGCGGGAGGGGGAAAGATGGAGGAGGAATAGACTGGCGTCGGGGGGACAGGGGGGACGAAATGAACACGCAGAAGGAAGAAGAGGGGGGGAAACATTCTCTGACCTTTTTGCCACACAGGCTTTGGATGGGCTAATCGGGCCATCTTGGGATCATTTTTGGACCCTCTCGGGCGCCCTCTCGGCGCCCACTCGGTGCGGGTCGGCCGCTATCTATCTTTATAGATCTGAGGTGGAAGGGGCAGGAAACGGAGGACGAGGAGAGGGGAATGAGGAGGGCGAAGGAGGGTGAGAAGGTGGTAGGAGGAAGAGGAAGAAAAGGGGGGCACGTAATAATATGAGAGGGGGAATTTGGAAACCACGTGGATGGATTTGCGGATCGCTTGAGCCATATTGGAGGCAATATCCGTAAGGGTTTCGCCCCCTGCCGCCGGCCCCCTCTCTATCATAATGGGATACATGAGAGCTATATTGGGATGTCAGGGCACCGTCTTGATGACATTCGGGAACGTCATGCTAGGGCGGCTGGCGATGAACAAAACATATCGAGATTCTGAAATCATTGTTGAACGCTTTGTTGTCTTCTTGGGGCATTTTCCTCCAGTTGCTCATTGGAAGCGATCTGGGAACGGCTGGGGATTGATTGTTTCAGGCAGCATTTGGGGACATTGCAGTTTTTCTGCTCAGGAGAAGGAGTCTCGCCTTTGGGCAGCTTCCGCGAGGTGGATTCGTAGCCTGGGGGTGCGCATCCAGCGTATTTACAAGGCATTCTGGCGTCGGGGGCGCGAATGTGGCGCAATTTACAAGGGATCGTGGCTTCGGGGGCGCGAACGTGGTGTAGTTTATAAAGGATGCTGGCCTCGGGGGCGCGAGCTTGGCGTAATTTACATGGGATTGTGGCCTCGGGGGCGCGAACATTGCGTAAATTACTAAGGATCGTGGCCTCGAGGGCGCGAGCGCGGTGTAATTTACGAAGGGTCGTGGCTTCGGAGACGCAAATGTGGTGTAAATTACAAGGGATCGTGGCCTCGGAGCGCGAACATTGTATATTTTACAAAAGATCGTGGCCTCGGGGGCGCGAACACAGTGTAATTTGCAAGGGATTATAGCCTCGGGGGCACGAATTTCTTGTTTTTTTTTCCCTGTCCCACGCCCCCCCAAGAATTCTGAGAACCCTCCCGGGGGACGCTAACCAGGGCACTTTTCGGCTCCCCCCTCTCGCGCGGACAGTAACAATTTACAGTGGGAAGCAGAAAGCAGTTCTGTAACAATGGAAACTGGAAGCTGGAATTGGTGCAGGGAGCAGCCACCTTAATCCTCGCAGCCTGATGGCCCCGCAAGGGGGCCGGCGGATTGAGTTCTTCGGGGCCGTTTAGAAAAATATTGAGCCATCTTGGACGTTTCACCTATTGCGGACCTCCCACCCTTAACCCGTCCCCGGGGAGGCTAGGGGAGGCGTGGTCCATCCTCGAAGGGGAAGACTGGGGGCTGGCCTTCGAGATGGCGTTCGAGTGACGTTACCAAATCCACTAATCTTCTTGTGATATGTGTACACATGTTTTCTTTTGAAATATGTAAAAGCGCGCTGCCCTGGTCGGAATGCGCAGATTGTCTTATGGTCCGTGTACACACATCATCCCTGGATCAGTGTGTAAATTCATCGTCGTCCTCTCCCGTCGTGGTCACGTGCGGGAACTTGCGGAATTCTCTCGGCTAGTCGAGGTGGCACGCGTTTGACTTTTCGAAATGCACAGATCTTCTTCTGATCTGTGTACACAGTTCCTCCTTCGATCTGGGTAAAAGCGCGTGGCCCTGGACCGAATACACCGATTTTCTTTTGATCGGTGTACACACTTTTTCCTTTGCTCTGTGTAAATACATCGTCATCCCTCCCCGTCGTGGTCACAGGGGGGGGACTTTCGAAATCCTCTCGGCTGGCCCAGGGTGGGCCGTTCGAGCGCGGCGGAATACACACTTCGTTGCTCCTGCGAGGGTTTCCCGGAGGGCGTGGTGCCAGGGGGTAGGCGGGGCGGAGTTCAGGCGCCAGCAAATGGGCGGGGGAGAGGGGACAGGATGGGGGAAGGGCGAAGGGGCAGGGAAGCTGCGGGGGGCGCCCGGCGTTCAAGATGGCCAAAGAGTGCCTCAAGAGGGCCCAGCAATTCCCACGAAGGACCCAAGATGATTTCGGGAACCCTGGAAAAAGGTCCCCAAAAAGGCCCCAAAAGGGCACTGAGTTGGATCCTTGAGGCCGCGAAGATGCTTCAAAAGCACGGTGCGCAACTGTACATATGCTTGACTCGTCCTGGTTCTCGCTCTTGTCGGGATCGTCGTCGTCGTTCTCGCCGCGTGCTCCCCTACCTCCCCGCTCTCCTCCTCTTCTGTCTGCGTCAAAGCGCGCGCGGGCGAAAACG